TGTATATATGTATATATATATATGTATATATATATATATATATATATATATATATATATATATGTGTATATATATATTAATTGATTATATAATATATTGTTTTTGTCTTATTTAGACTGTTGTTCTGTTCAACTGGGCCATTTGGTCTCCACCTCAAGTTGGAAATAGTGATCTGCCAAACTGGTCTCATGCCATTGGTTGGATGATATACGTTTCAGCAGTAGTCTCCATTCCTGGAATTGCTATTTACGACTTTGTAAAAGGGTCAGGATCTGCCCTTGAGGTAAGCAGGAGTTGAATGTCTTGTTATGGTGATTAATATGATAATAAGTGATTTCTTCTTCATATCTTTATTGTGAATGAAGCTGAATAAAAAAGATGTTAGTAGAGGGACAGTCAGAATATTGTCCTTGTATAATTAATGTAATGATAATGATATATTGTAGCTGATTAATATTTCTCTCGTTTATTACAGCGATTAAAGGTAATGATTAGCCCAACTAAGGCGTGGGGTCCTGCACTGTTAAATCATCGCCAAGAAGCAGCTGCGGTCCACGAACGTTATCAAACCACTATGGGAGGGGACGTTGACTTTGATCCGCAAACCATGGACACTTCAAGTTATGATATGAAAGTCAAATACAGCAATGAAGACGGAGTGCAGGTTTGAATAGAAACTATCTGGAAATAAAAATAATGCAATAAAACAAATAAGAAAAATTGAAAAACATAAAAATGATTAGTGAAAATTTCAAAAATAGGAAGGTTTTAAGTTTAGTAAAAAATAAGGACAAGTGATATTACGATAGTCAGCAGGGACCGAATTCCAAAGTGTAGGAGCTGAGAAAAAGAAAGACCTTATGAGAACTTATATTTGGGGTGGGAATATTGGGGGTTTAGGGGATGTAGTGGAGTGGCATACATCTGTCTGCACAGTGTTCGCAGTTATGCTGTGAAAGTCTGCCTTTGATCCTATCAAACTACCCCATTTGTAGTGTGATGTGCATCGACCAAAGACCGCATTATCGGCTGGTAACCACCAGATGCTTTACTAGAGGTCGTTCCCTAGGTTCAGTATATGGAGCAAAGCTAAACAATGCTGCCACGTCATTGTCAACAAATCGCACAACTAAAATGATTGCACCTATCTTTAGATATGTGGCATTTAATGCAAAAGTGTAATGTGTATCATCACAATATTATTTAGTATAAGCATTAAGTATAATGTGGACTAAATTATTGTGTATTTAATGCTTTTAACATTATTATATATATAATATAGATTATTATAATTATATTATAATATTGGCTTTATATACTATAATTGTGGAAGCATGTGGCAGAGTTTATAAAGCAGCGGGCCTTTGATCAAAAGGTCCGGGGTGCAATCTTAAGTTGGCCACATGTTTGTGTCCATAGGCAAGGCACTTTATCCACGTTGTCTTTCTCCACCTATGAGTAAAAGTAGATGAGTTACCTAGTAGATTTTAATGCCAATGTGTGGATTACTGCCTGCAAAATTATGGAATATTTTCTCAAAAAAATAATAATAATGTGAAGTGCGAAGAGGCATTGACATTTTAGGAATTATAAAACCAACATTATTATTATTAATATTATTATTATTATTATTATTATTATTGTTATTATTATTACTATTATTATTATACTTATTATTGTTATTGTTATTATTTATATTATTACTGTATTATTATTATTATTAATATTGGTTGTTTTCATAATTTTTTACACAGCATTATTTATGGCATATTCCATGTATATACGATTATCGGCAGAGCCGATGATTTCAATTGTATAGATATTTAATTCTTAATAGTTAATTCATTGTTTTTTGTTTCAAATCTTGGTATAACAAAATGTATATTTTCTTTACCCAATCTGCTGAAATACTTTCTTAAAAGTGAATTGTTTGAAAATATTTTTTAACTTGTTTTCTATAGCAACTTTCCATATTTAATTGTTAGATTTAGCTTTTCTTTTCATTTTTGCTTTTTAATATGATGGTATAAAGAGATCCAAAAAAAAAATAAACACCAAAAAAAATGCAATAAAATTTCAAAAATGACCAAAAAAATAATAAAAAAAGAAATCATAAAAATATCTAGAAAAAAAAATGAGTGAATTTGTTTAAAGTATATTATGTGTTGTACCATCCTGTACAATGCCTCCAAATGCAAACTCTCCAAAACATGTGCTTTGACAATGCAATCGAAAATGCAATTTATCATGTAAATTATTTATTGATGCTGTAATTGAATGCTGTTTTTTATTGGTAATTGTTGTATTTGACTCATTCTTTTTAAATATGTTCTTTAAAAGGAGCACGGTATATTTTTTAACAAAATATTTTAACACGAATAATATATGTGCTCTAGTTTTGCTTTGGAAGAAACATTTCCACAATATTTATAAATATTTTTGAACCAATTGAGTGAGGTGTGTTTGAAAGAGCAACTTGTAATTCTATATAAAAAAAAAAGAAGGAAACTTTGCTTGCAATAATGCCTTTACATACTTGCTATATTTGTGACTTACTGTACCCATTAAAAAATGGATTGTAAAGATTGTGTTTATTTATTATACAAGATTAGTGGTTTAAGCACTTATGGACTAAGAATAAACCAAGCTATGTACAGTATACAGTATGTTTAAATTGTTAATAGTTTACGCTGACAGTACACTACCACTCTGTATCTCTACAGTAAGTTTTAAAATTAAGAAATTGGTAATATATACATAAAGGTCTGTCCATGATATAAATTTGTATTTATGTAATTTTACCATATACGGGCATGATGATTCTATAATATCACACCTATATGAGCATGATGATGTCATATCAAACAGTAACCAGTAATTTACTGCCACAAGAAAAGGGTGCACAATTTGTACCGCACATCCATCATATTTAAATGTACTTTGCATACAGTGATTTGCTGCCACAAGAAAAGGGTGCACTTCTTAAAATATGTATTAAAAGGCAACAAATTATATCACTTGATTGACCAGTTGCACACCATGTGAAATTGTAGAATAAATGGAATACAAAATATGTATATATGTATATATCAGTGAAGGATCGATGGTAGATGACGCTTGTAACATATTTTTTTTCAAATGTATTACTTTGTAGTGGTTATGATTCCATTATTCTGGGTCTTTGTCTTGACAGCATGCAGTAGGCCTGCCTAATTTAACTTGTAGGCTTCAGAGCCTCTACTTAGCTACTACTCAACCATCTCAGTCGAAAATGTATTCAATGTAATACAATGTAGAATTTTGCATTTGGTAAATATAACAATTCTGTGAAATAACAATGAAATGTAAATAGGCCTAGAAAAAACCGTGATAAAAGATGAAAATAAGAGAATAAATAAAAGGCAGTCGAATTGATAATTGGCTAATTTCTGTGCATGATCTTTGCTATTTGTGGAGGAGAGAGTGTGGCTTTCGAGTTTTGTGTGATACTATCTGAAGTTGGCCATGCATATTATGCTACATATGCCCATATATTAGCATGGTGATGTCATATCTCACCCAAATATGGGCAGATAAAGGTAAATCATGAAAATCGGTATGTTCATGATCTTTGGATACGAATATGTAAGAATCAACCGAAAAACGGCTGGTGAAAAAATATCCTAATTTTAGAAATTCGGACGCAAAGCTCAAGGTTTTTTCGAAATTGGACGTTGATGAATGTCACTTAAAATTAGATCATACTCAATTAGTACTAGGCCTATGCGTCCGAATCTAAGAAAATTTGAAACTTTCTCAAACATAATCGGTGTTTTCATGATCCGTAAGTACTATAGAGTAATAGGCCTACTGTAATCAGCAGGAAAACGACTAAATGAAATATTAGCCAAATTTTTTTGGCTAATAGGATTACGGGGTGAAAAAAACGATTTTTTTTTTCACCCCGCCATTTCCCCTCCTATTATTTTGTGTCTGGCACCTACCAACAGACGGGCCAACAGATAATACGAATGTGTTCTGTGGTACCTACCGACCCTATACGAAAGGATAGATCAGGTAAAAAATAAAAACAAAAAACGGCTAGGTGAAACAATAGCCCAACTTTGGCGAAAACGCTTATGGTATTTGTCAAAATTGGACGATGGTTCGACTCTTCCATTTTCCGGTAGTTGTGTGTTCTTTAGCACCTACGGATCACAAAAGTAACAAAACGTGTGTGAAAAACCGCTTCGTCTCAAGTAGGCCTATAGGTGTGATTTATTGTGGTTTAGAATACTTAAAGAATAGTTATATAATGTTCTGGTTCTGGTGGGTAAAGCCGACCTCATAAGCAGTGGTGTCACGCTCGGGCGCTATGATGGGGGGGGGGGGCGCCAGGGCCCCAGGTACGAGCCCCCCCCCACCTACATTGTAGTTAAAAAATTACATAATGGATCTTTAACAAAGAGCTTGGCGTCAACTTAAAATGTTTAGATATTAATTTTTTTCCCATGTCTCTCTCATAAACAGTATTATATAATTTTACGTTTATTTTTATATGGTATCTCATGTATTCTTTAGTTGAATTCTGATAATTGTCAGTAAAACAATTAATGTTTCTCTCAGACTCGGATCCAGACCTTCGCCCAGTTCGCCCAGGCGAAGGTCAGGTTGAGAAATAAAAATAAAATGTTGACCATTATTCCAACAATCATACTTACTTCCCTTGACACTTATTTTGAACATTACGGTACCAAGGACAATGTTTAAATCCACACTATCCTATACTTTACACTTTTACACTGGTTGTACTGTAGGCCCTACCAGAGAGGTATATTCCCAATACATTATGGTCTTCCACTTCTATAGCGCGTGATACAGTGCATAACAAACGTTATGTAACCACTACTAATAATACTCATGTCCAGTGGCGTAGGTGTGGGCAGTGCACAGCACTGGGGCCAGGGATATTGGGGGCTCGTTCAATAGGTCTAATGATCTAAAAATATAACTTTAAAAAATCCTATTTAAACTTTAAAAGGACCCTTTAATAATATTAGGTTTAAGAGGTTATATTTATTTACTATATTCATTACAATCCTAGTACCTATTTCCCAAACTCTGCAAGTTAAAAAAAAAACAACAACAACAAAACAAGCCCTTACGTATAGGATGCACTAATATACTTTTTGAAATCACATTTCTAAAGCAATAAAATATCGTCACGCAAATTTGTGTTTGTGGTATTTTAAAGTTGGTTTAACCATTAGGCTATTGTGTACGTTTTTAAACAGTTCAGATAATCATAACTTCATGAATACATTTTAGATTCACTTCCACTGCAAGTAGCTGTTCTATTATTGAATGGTAATTGTTATTATCGTGATGGAATAGACAATACAGTATCTGGATTTGCGTCAGAAGCAGGGTCGGATCCTTTGGGCCGATCGAGACAACACTGTCATAGGGGGTACGGGGAATCCCCCCCCCCGAAATTTTTGTGTTATAGACGCCCGAAAATAGTTCAGGCGTTCTGGGCTATCATTGTTTTCTTTTTTTTTTCTTTTTTTTCATTTTTTTCCCTTCATTTTTTACCTTCCAAAGGGGCCCGTGAATCCGCCCCTGAGGAGATTCAATTAGGGGGCCAATATGTTTAATTTTGCCCAACCTGTTGTGAAAATGTACTGAATACTCAGTACGTGTGAAAACACTTGCAAAAATGCATTGATATACTTTTTTAAATCACATTTCTAAAGCAATAAAATATCGTCACGCACATTTGTGTTTGTGGTATTTTAAAGTTGGTTCAACTATTATTGTGTACGTTTTTAAACACTTCAGATCATCATAACTTCATGAATACATTTTAGATTCACTTCACTGCAAGTAGGTCGATGACTGTTCTATTATTGAATGGTATTGTTATTATTGTGATGGAATAGACAATACCTGGATTTGCGTCAAGAGAATCAATCTAGGGGGCCTATATGTGTAATTTTGCCCAACCTCTCGTGAAAATGTACTGAATACTCCCACGTTCTCCAGATCACTAGCCTGGCATCATACCTCTAGACCACCGAGCCTGCACCTGATGCCAGGGTTGAATTTGAGCCCAATTAAGCAGCAGCTACTATTTTTGCAAGTGTTTTCACACGCACTGAGTATTCAGTACATTTTCACGACGGGTTGGGCAAAATTCCACCTATATATGTTCTATTGTTGTCAATATATCATAGATTCATGATGCCTAATAGGCCCTAAACGACAACATATATAGGCCTGTGACTTGGTTTGTTCTCAATATTCTTGAATTTTGTAAACAAAATATTTTTTAGATATTTCTGAGCGTTAATGCCGTCTGTTTTAAAAAATCTCAGAATGTATGAGCATTAAGCGTTTCGCCTGAGTAGACCCCACTAATTCCACCCTAAAAGCTCAATAGAACAGAAGCATTCTTACCAATTTTACCTGGGCCCGGCAGTTATCTATGCCATAGTTACCAATCGTCACGCACCCCGCGTTTCAAAGTGACTTTGGATAAAACACGCATTTTGCAGAAACACATGGAGATCGTAAGTATGAGTCACGCATTTAGCACTTGCGCTATAACGAATTATCACAAAAGGGGAAAACGTATTTAAAATTAGAAGAAATTGGTTTTATTAAAAATATAAAAACGGTCATACAGTAGCTTGAATCATTGGAGAGCTTTCGTTATCTCGTTCGATAATCAATTCACTGAAAAAAAATTTTCTTTTACGACCAAAACAACCCAGTCAACCACGCACTTGTAGAATCTAGTGGCCTAGTCGCGAGCTGTCTTGCGAGTTTATTGTTACAATCAACCGTTGATTATGTGACTGGAACCCGGGCTTCCTCAGGGGTTCCGTCCCTGGACCCCTGGCGGCACCACCCACCCAATTGGTGTAGTCACGCATTTCAAATCTCTCAGGTTGGTAACTATGTCTATGCTGATGAAATGAGAGTCCACACAAAATAGAACTTAAATTACCTTTTTTTTAAAATTTATTGTTGTTGACGAATTTAGTGTCAAAAAACCGAAATTATTAAATACCGTAGGTACCAGAAAATGGCACTTTAATATTTAAATTATAAAAACTACCAAAACTAACTGAGTCCCACTATGGTTGGGGCTCAGGTGAGAAAATTTGGAGAATTTGAGACTCGTATAATTGCCTAAAAATAGCACTTGAATAGTACAAAATTTACGATATCTACCTGAGACCCACCATGGTTTTGGGGCGCAGATGAGTAAATTTCAAGATTGAGACTTTGTAGATGCCCGAAAATAAATACTTAAAATTTATGAAAACTACCAATCCATCCACCTCAACCCACCGTAGTTGAGGCTGAGGTAAGACAAAAGTGTGAGAATTTGAGACTTTTAGTGGGGTGGGGAGGTCAATTTTCCCTTTTTCTCCATGATTTTTTTTAAATTGGAGTGGGGAGGGGGAGGAGAGAGCTTTTAATCTGCCACTGAAAAATGAGACAACTTTTAATATTTGAAACAAAAATATGATCAACCTTTTTACAAAAAATATTTTACAACCTTTGAATTATATATTTGATGAACTTAAACCTAACTTTTACCCCTGTGGTTACCAGTGACATATCCGGGATTTAAGGAAGTGTGTGTTGAATGAATGAGAGTCCACACCATGTCAGTGCTACCCTGGTTGGCAGTGACATGTGAAAATTTTCAGTATTTTGTACATCTGGATGCCCGGAAATGGGACTTGAAATTATCATGTAATTCTTTTTATGTTTGACAAAATGAGTAAAAAATAAACCGAATTAATTAAAAAGGTGCTTGAAAATGGCACTTAAATTCCAAAAAAAATACAATTCATCAACAATCTTACTTGGACTATAGTATTGGCCTTTTGCTTGTTTTCTTGGTAACTTTTTCTAATGAATTTTTAGCTTTTTACATTGTGTATTGTTTTAATGATTGTATTTTATATGAGATGCGAATAAATCATATCAAATCAAATATGCACCTGAAATCCACGGTAGTTGGGGCTCAGGAGAGAAAATTTTAAGAATTTGAGACTTATAGATACTTGCAAATAGTACTTGAATAGTACAAAATTTACGATATCTACCTGAGACCCACCATGGTTTTGGGGCGCAGATGAGTAAATTTCAAGATTGAGACTTTATAGATGCCCGAAAATAAATACTTAAAATTTATGAAAACTACCAATCCATCCACCTCAACCCACCGTAGTTGAGGCTGAGGTAAGACAAAAGTGTGAGAATTCGAGACTTTTAGTGGGGTGGGGAGGTGCTAAGACATCCTGAGCATCCCCATTCCCTCGATACGCCACCGCAGAAATATTTTCCTTGTCTCTCTCTCTTTATCGGGCACACCCACTTAATGATGGGCACAGTTACAATTTTTTTTATGA